AAGCATCTTACCAGCTAGGTGTGGTGTGGTCACACACCCATAATCCAAACCCGTGAGGAGGCTGAGGCAGGAGGATCAAAAGTTCAAGGCCAGCCTACGCAATTCAGTGGTCCCTGTCTTTAAAGCAAAAACAAAAAATCTGGGCTTGTAGCTCAGTGGCAAAGCTGTGCCCCTGGGTCCAGTTCTCAGCACCACAGAAGCACTCCATGATAACTATAAATGTTACCAAAGGCTCTTTGGTCTGTGAGGCAAGTCCCTGCCCACCAGCACCCCTTCCTCCCTGTCAGACGTGGGGCTTGCCACTTGCAGAGCCCCTGGAGGCACTGGGCATGACGCTTGGCTTCTGGCAGGTGCTAAGCCCAGGGCCGGCAGCCAAGCAGTGACTCAGGCTGTAGTAGGATTCGTGTGCAGGCCCAGAACACAGGCTGCTGAGAGGTCCCAGGGCACCCTGGAACTTGGAGTGAGCCCTCGTTCCATGCTGGGCCCAAGTCACTGTGGCTGCGGAGTGTCCACCCTGAGTACTCTAACTGAGCTCAGCTTCCAGGTGCTTTGGCAGGAAAGGCGGACTTCTGGTCTGGGCAGGAAGCTGGACCCAGTTCCCAGAGGTGTGGGGCATGGAGCAGGCTTACAGTGGAGTGTGGCTGGCGTTAGTGACCAGCAGGGTTCCGTGCAGTGGCCCTGGGGCTGGGAGTCTCCAGTGTGTGAATGCCCTAGCTGGGAAGCAGGACCTTGGGCCCTGGTGCTCCGTTGGCGGGATGAATCAGGGCCTGTGTGCTGGCACGGGCCAAGCCTTGTCTTGTGGGATTTTTCCCAAGGACAGGGCCCTGGCAGTGTCTGGGTGGGGACAGCAGGGGGCTTTAGGGAGTGGCTTAGGATCCAGGCCATGGTTTGGGGTCGTCTCAGAGTGGAAGAGGCAGGGGCAGGAAGAGATGGTCCACGGGTGGGTACTCATCCCAGCCACGGTGGCCTTGCAGGTGGGATGCTATGGAATATGATGAGAAGTTGGCCCGGTTCCGGCAGGCCCACCTCAACCCCTTCAACAAGCAGCCTGGGCCAGGGCAGCATGAGCAGGGAGCTGGCCAGGAGGTCCTGGATGCTGGCCCTGAAGGTGGGTGATGAAGTGGGAACTGCGGGCCCCTTCCTCCTTTCCGCTCCATGGAGCTCAATCTTGACTTTCTCACCGTGGGAGAGCTGTGCTGTTTCCTTTTTTCCCATAAATCCCTTTCCACTTGCTCTGTGGGTCTCTGCCCTGTCCTCCAACACCCCCCCCCAAGATTTCACGGTGGAGCCGCTGCAGCCTGTCAGAGCACCCAAGCCCACACACGAGGGGTCTGCCTCAGAGCCAGGCTGTTTCAGCAACTGTCTCCTGTGCCCCCCAGTGCCTGTGGCTCCTTCCAGCTCCCATTTTGAATGGCTCTTTCCTGTCTGCACAAGACACTGGTCTACCTGGGCTCATTCTCAAATACAAACCCGCAGACGTGTGAGCACCCCTCCTTGTGGGCTCCCCGGTCTGCTCCTGCCCACTCCTGGGGGTGAGAGTGGAGGCACGGCTGACTTTTGTCTGTCCTTGGCACCCTCCACACCTGTCCTGTCCTGCAGAAACCCCACCTGAGCTGCCTGCCGGGGAACCTGAGTTCCGCTGCTCAGAGCGCATGATGGATCTTGGCCTGTCTGAGGACCACTTCTCCCGCCCTGTGGTAAAGTCTGGGGTCTAAGAGGGGAGGGGCTAGGCCCCAGCGTGCTAGGGGACAGGGGTTTCCTGGGGACCCCATTCCCACACAGCAGCAGGCATCTCATGACCTGGGCACGGTCTTCCTCCATGCACCTCTGTTATCTGGCTCAGCAGCCCCACCGCAGCCATCCCTGGGACCTCAGATAGCCCTGACCTCTAACCTGGCAGCCTGTCTGGAGGCAGGGGGACACAACCTGGGCTGCGGGGCGGCGTCCTGGGGCTTCTCTCCCTGAAGCCTCAGGTTCTGTGAAGTGGACGTGAAAGTTGGTTCTCCTTGGCGTCAGACCCAGGATGAAGTTTCAGGTGGGGGAGGGCCCTGTGCACCTCCTGTCTCTGCACAGACGTGCCCCCTTGCTGTTCTGCCTTTGTCCCATGGAGGGCTTGTTTTGAAGGAGAAAGAGGGGAGCTCTGCCAAGAATGTTTGAAAGCCTTTCAGTTTTACACAATGTATCTCCACCTTTTGAATGAAGCAGAGTAACAGTAGAATGGGACTGTAAAAAGATCCAGTGAGAAGGTCCCCAGTTTGAATTCACCTTAGGTTTTGTTTTGTTTCAGACAGGGTCTCGCTGTGTAGCTCAGGCTGGAGGCCCTCTTGCCTCAGCCTCCCAAGTGCTGGGATTACAGGCGTGTGCCACCATGCCTGGCTTGAATTCACTTTTAGTTTGTAAATATGACCTTCCTGTTTTGCTGTTACCTATATGTGCTGTGTATCTTCATTGTAACATTTCTGAGCGCTTCCTATTCGCTGCAGTCTGAACTCCAAGGAAAGGGGAAGGGCCACTTCCTCTTAGCCTGGATCTCTGGGTTCCAGTGTAAGGGAGGATGCTGCTGAGCTGCTGAGCCTGACCTCCCACCTCTGAGGCTCAGCCTGTTCCCTGGTGGCATCAGGATCTGTGTAGAGAGCTGGGAGACACCACAGCCTGGGTGGTCACCTCCAGGCTAAAAGGGTGTGGCCTTTTAGCCAGAGGCCACTTTCTGTCCTTTATGACAGTCAGTGTCATTTCCCCAGCTTTTGCCCAAGGGGAAGCTTTTTAGAAGTAAGTGAAACAGCACAGGCAAAAAGCAATTGGTTTTCTGAAAGAGGGAGGTGGAGTTTTAACTGTCCTAAACAGGTCATCGGAGGCCTGTGAGAGGTGGTAGGGGGGCTGTGGGGACTGTGACTTGGCTTGCACTCCAGGACTTCCCCTGGCCCATGCTGGCAGTCCGCTCATTGCCTCCGTGTGCCTGAGGACAGGCCTGGCCACCACAGGGGAGCTGCAGCATGACCAGTCACTTGCCCCGACCTTGGCAGGGTTTGTTCCTGGCCTCTGACGTGCAGCAGCTGCGGCAAGCAATTGAGGAATGCAAGCAGGTGATTCTGGAGCTGCCTGAGCAGTCAGAGAGGCAGAAGGATGCTGTGGTGCGGCTCATCCACCTCCGGCTGAAGCTGCAAGAGCTGAAGGTGGGCGCCAGTGTGCACACTGCAAAGGGAGCCCAGGCCCAGCCCTGGTCTTGGGAGCAGGAGTGGGGCCACCAAAGGCTGCCTTCACAGGCCTCTGTTCTTTGAGGGGCTGAGGTAGAAAGGGATCCAGAAAGCTAGGGTGAAAAGTGCAGCCCTCACTCTGCATGCAGGCTGTTTTCCTTTTAGTCCAGGCCCTCTTGGTTGCAGTGGGCAGGAACCGAAAGGAAAGCGCTTGCTTGTTAGCAGAAAGGTCTCCAGCGCCCGGGAGCTTGCCCTCCTCCGCTGTGTGCTTTCTGTGCCCGCTCTGTCCACGTGCAGGATTTCCCCGTGCAGGCGGCAGTAGCCCTGTGGTGGAGCTATCTTCCCCCCAGCTCAGCAGTCCAGTGCAGATGGAAGGGTCCCTTCAATAGACAGCCAGCTCTGGGTCCACAGGGACCACTCATGGTGCCTGCTAGGCTAACCCTGAGTTAGTCCCAGTGATCCGCTCGTTCTGCCTTGACCCGCTGCAGTGAATCAATGGCACGATCCCCCCTGAGCGCTGGGACCTAGACTAGGAGGGGTGGCTTCCTGAAAGTGACCACAGGAAGAGGTGAGGGAAGCCAGGGCACAAAGCCCACAGACGTTTTCTCACTGCCCCGAGTGTGTGTTGCTTGGTGTGGCTACCACAGTGTCCCGTGGGCCTGGGAACGTAGGAAGCGGACTGTTCCTTGGCATTGGGGTGGCTATGGTGAGACACATCCAGAATACACTGGCTTCGAGGACGTAGGTGTGTACTTTTTTCGTGAAAAAAAAACTCCCATAGGTAGTCTCGGGCCCATATGCCAACTTGTGGTGCTAGGGACCCTGGTCATCCTGTCTGGCTGCTGTCCCTCCTGAGCCTCACAGCATATCTTGGTCTGTGCCCAGTCAGCAAAAGAAGGACAGGCAGAGGCCACTTACTTCCTGCGTACTAGCCCCTGGTCCCTAGGCAGACCCATGTAGCAGCTGCTGGGAAGGGCAGGGCGGGGTCTTGCTGGCCGCAGTTGACTGACCAGCATTCTGCTGCTGAAGGGAGAGGGGAATGTGCATTGGGCCAAAGTGCACAGGCTTTGTGACAAGTGGTGCCTGGAAGGAATAGGTGGCAGGGCTTGACTGAACCCCTTCCCTGACTCGTTCCTGACCCACCTCTGCAGGACCCTAATGAAGATGAGCCCAACATCCGGGTCCTCCTGGAGCACCGCTTCTACAAGGAGAAGAGCAAGAGTGTCAAACAGACCTGTGACAAGTGCAATACCCTCATTTGGGGGCTCATTCAGACCTGGTACACCTGCACAGGTGGGCCAGGGCCGAGACTACTGTCTGGGCCGCAGTGCAGGTCCCAGGGCAGGGCAGAGATGCCCAAAGCTCTGCTCCCAGTGTGGGCTGCGTTGGCACATTCTCTAGATTTTCATTTGACCACACTGTGCTGTGTGCTTGAGATGTGAAAAGCAGAAGAGATCCAGGTCCCTGCCTGCCCTGGCCTCACCCAGACCTGAAGTGTCCAGCATAATGGTGGTCACTGGCCATATGTGGGAATTCATACTGAAATCTAGAGGCACTGAATAGATCACTCCCCAGCTGTAAAATTACAGAGCAAGGCAGCGCCATACGAAGCTGGTCGCTCTCATGTTGGATAGTACAGAGAGAACACTTCCATGACTGGAAAATCCTTGTGGATAGTGCTCTGGCTGAGAAGCTGGACTGGTAAATGGTGTGACATACGGGCAGTCATTGTAAGGGGAACAGGGACAGGGAATCCATATTATGTCAGGGTAGAATGGTAATGACTTTAGGGTGGGAAGAAAAATCTTGTAACGTTTACATAAATGCTTGGAGTTCAGGGAGCAAGCTGGGATAGCCTGTGCAAGGAACATTTTGATCAGGGAGCCCTGTGGTCGAGGTGTGTCCAGTGTGCTCAGGAGGAGCAGAGGGCCGGGGATAGAGCGCAGCCACAGAGCGCCTGCCTGGCAAGCGCAAGGTTGTGAGTTTGATTGCCAGCAACAACAACAATAAAAAAGAAGCAGAGTACGTTGTTGTTCAGCACACATCTGAGGCGGGCTTGGGGGCTGAGGGGTTTCCTGGGAGTGTGGTGGGGCCTAGGGGTGCACTTTAGCTCCCGGAAGGAGGAAGGGCAGAACTGCAAGGGGCTGCTGAGGGGAGGGTGATGGCTCTGCGTGTGGGTGAGAAGTGATGGGTCAGTGGGGCAGAAGACCTGGACTGCAGGAGCTAGGGAGGAGGCAGCGTGACTGGACGGTAGGTCTGACCCTGGGAGGATGTTGCTGGAATCTCTGGGAGAAGAGGGCAAGGAATTTGCAGAGACGGAGGAGTGCAAATTGCTTTTGCTCAGCTCAACTTTGGTGGGTGGGAATGGCGGAACACGTGAGCCTGTACATGAGAGGTGAGCCTCCGGGGAGGGGGACGTGGGGACCTCCTGTGGCCATGCCAGAAGGTCTGGGCCGGCCTGGACACGGGGCCTGGGAAGCCGGGCTGAGGGTCCCCTCCACTTCTAAGAGCACGTTGTCCCCCAACCCCAGGCTGCTACTACCGCTGCCACAGCAAGTGCTTGGACCTCATCGCCAAGCCCTGCGTGAGCTCCAAAGTTAGCCACCAGGCCGAGTACGAGCTGAACATCTGCCCCGAGACCGGGCTGGACAGCCAGGATTACCGCTGTGCTGAGTGCCGCGTGCCCATCTCTCTGCGTGAGTGGTGGCCAGGCGCCAGGCGGGGCGTGGGGAGGGTGGTGAGAGAGTTGGTGAAGGCGTTGCTGAGTAAGGCCCCGAGGACAGGCAGGCCCTGCACTTTGTCTGTGGGAAGTGACAGGGGCAGTGGTAACATTCTTTCACTGCCTCCAGAAGCAGCCTGGATTTCAGCTCTATCGTGACTTGTCAGGTCTTGTGGGGCAGTCTCACTGTCTTGGCATTTGCTGTCCTTAGTTTGCTCATCAGGACAGGGCCAGGAGAACCCCGGCAGTGAACTGCTGAACGAATCCCCGTGGAGGAACATTAGCAGGTCTCTGGAATACTGTGCTGTGTGACACTGTGCTTTTTCCCAGTCTGTGACAAAGGGCCTCGCAGTTTGAGCTCAGATGGCCTGGGTCGGGAGGTTGGGACCTCCGCTGGCCTTGGGCAAGGGAGGCCAGACTCGCAGACAGGTAAAGCAGGAGCTGGCCGCCACCCTGACCCTGACCCTGACCCTGACCCATCTGACGCTTCAGGGGGCGTGCCCAGCGAGGCGCGACAGTGTGACTATACCGGCCAGTACTACTGCAGCCACTGCCACTGGAACGACCTGGCTGTCATCCCCGCACGCGTCGTGCACAACTGGGACTTTGAGCCACGTAAGGTAGGGCTGGGTTTTGCGCTGCAGAGCAGAAGGGGGCGTGTCCCTGTCGGGGTGGGGCAGCGGGAGGGGCGTGTCCTGTGTTTTGGGGCGGGGCCAGAGGAGGGCGTGGTCACTCAGAACCCCGCAGGTGTCTCGCTGCAGCATGCGCTACCTGGCGCTGATGGTGTCGCGGCCAGTGCTCCGGCTCCGGGAGATCAACCCACTGCTGTTCAACTATGTAGAGGAGCTGGTGGAGATCCGGGTGAGGCTGGGGCTTGTCCTCCCTGGGAGAGGCCGCGTTCTTGGGACATGGGGAAGGGCAGTTTGAGTCCAGAAGAGATACAGCCTTTGTTATCCTTTGTTGTTTTGTTTTTTAGTGGGCTTAGGATGCCTTCAGGGCAGGTCTGGTTTGGCTTGAGGATCAGGGGATCGAACCACAGCATAAAGCAGGCACTTAGACAACCAAGCTGAGGGGCAGACCTCCCCCCCCCCACACCTGCTGTCCTTTGGGTTGAAGGTGGGAGAAATATGTGCGGTGTCGGTCTGATGCCCGGCTTGGCGACAGTGTTAACTTCTTTTCTTTTTTTGTATTTTTAGTCCAGGGTCTACAGGGTCTCACTACACAGATCGGCCTCATAGTGATCCTCCTGTTTTCAGCCTCCCAAGAGCTGGGATTACAGGCACACACCGCCATGCTCAGTCTCAATTGCAGGCTCGGCATGCCCCAGGGGCAGGTCGGCACGGTTTGCTGGGGATTGAGCCCAGGCCGCCGCGCTCTGCCTAAGCAGGCACTTTAGTCTGCTGAGCTATCTGGCTGGCCCCCTAATTAATTACTTTTGAAAATAAAGTAAAAAGAGTCCTGGCACGGTGCTGGCTGCCTGTAATCTCACCATTCCAATGGCTGCTGGGGGAATCACAAGTTGGAGGTCAGCATGGGCTATATAGTGAGATCCAGTCTCAAAAGCAAAAACAACAACAACAACAAAAAAGAATACCAGGTAGTTAGCTTACTGGCATACGTACTGTCTGCCAAGCCCAAGGTCCTGAGTTCGATCTCTGGTACCAAAAAGAAAGAAAGAAAGAAAGAAAGAAAGAAAGAAAGAAAGAAAGAGATGAAGTTAATGTTAATAATATATTTTCTATAACCCAGTGTGTCCAAAAGCTTCAGTGTGCAATTCTGAAAACTAATCATGTTTTATGTGATGTTCTTTATTTTGTACTGTATCTTTGCTTCTGTGTAGATTCCAAGCTCAGTGGCCCCAGGCACTTCCAAGTGCTTGACAGCTCAGTACGATTTGCAGTCATGTCTAGTCAGGCTAGAAATGGTGGCGGGAGGGGCTGTGTGTCTGAGACACTGAGGGTGGGTGGAAAGGGTTCGATCCTGTGGAACACGGAGGAGGCTGAGGCAAATGAGCTGACTTGCTGTAGCCACCAGGGCCGTGGGGCTGTGGGACGTGACGGGAACATGGGGCCTGCCATGGAGTGAGTGTGCCGGTGCTGCTCCCAGGCACCTGGGCGGAGGGCATGGACGATGGTGTGTGTTGGGCACATTCAGTGAACCTCAGGATCCCGCACTTCCTGGCGCCATGACTTGAACCTGAACGTGCCCGGAGGGTTCGGGGCTGGGCTGCCCTGGGGATGTGAGGCCACTTCCCCGTCCCCTACTGAGCTTGCCGCCACCAGGAGGATAGGCGAGGGTGCTGTGAACGTGATTCTTAGGAGGCTGCAAGGGCCAGTCCCTCAGCCCTCCCCATGACTCTGCCCCTCTTTCGTCCTGACTGAGGGGGTGTCCACTGCTCTTGTCCGCAGAAGCTGCGCCAGGACATCCTGCTCATGAAGCCTTACTTCATTACGTGCAAGGAGGCCATGGAAGCCCGGCTGTTGCTGCAGGTCAGACTGCCAGAGGCACTGGCCAGAGAATTGGGGACGGGAACACCGCCTCCACAGCTTTCTCCATCACTTGGCTGCTGTGTGTGCTGCGCTTCGAGCAGGGGGCTTTCTAGACTCTGTCCCAGGAACACTAGGTCTATAACAAGCAATCGTGTAGAATCCACAAGTGTGTTCCCAGTTTGGGGAACTAAGATAAACAAGCTCCGCCTACAGCCTGCACAAGACTGCTTGGAGGTGGCCTCAAGGAGCGCCAGCGGGCAGGCTTGTGGATGTGTTTGTTCAGCGAGCTTCTCAGACACTGGGAAGCAGTGAGCACAGCAAGCAGGGAGCTTGCATTTGGAGAGCATCCCTCAGGTTGAGCCCGCAAGGAAGCAGGTGGGGTGTCTGGGTGGCAAGTGCTTGGACAAGAGGCAGCAGGGCCCGGGAGAGCCAGAGCGGGAAGAAGTAGGGCCTGCGAAGGCGAGGAGGCCACAGACAGGAAAAGTGGCCCGGCCCCAGGGTCCCGCCCAGCCCCGCACTCCTGGGTTTTGCCCTTGGGGCCCCCTCGCAGCCCCCACTGATGCTGGCTGCCCCCCCAGCGGCGGGCCTCCGGTGGTGATGGAAAGGGGCCTGTGCCTGGGCTTGGGGTCACAGCTGTGGCCTTGGCAGCTCCAGGACCGGCAGCACTTCGTGGAGAACGATGAGATGTACTCCATCCAGGACCTGCTGGACGTGCACCTGGGCCGCCTGGGCTGCTCCCTCACCGAGATTCACACGCTCTTCGCCAAGCACATCAAGCTGGACTGCGAGGTGGGCCCTGGCTTCCTGCATGCTGGCCCGCCGGGGAGACCACACTTCCTCCTCCAGCCCCAAGGGCTAGCATTGGGAGGAGAGGCAGCTCAGCTCAGGGTGCCCCCTAGCCAGCGCCCCCCACCTGCACAGCCCCAGGGCTGCTCCCTTCCCCACCCAGTCCCATGCCACCACCCCCCCCCCCCGCCCGCCCAAGCCCACGTGTCTCCCTCCCGCCAGCGGTGCCAGGCCAAGGGCTTCGTGTGTGAGCTCTGCAGAGAGGGCGATGTGCTCTTCCCCTTCGACAGCCACACGTCTGTGTGCACAGACTGCGCAGCCGTCTTCCACAGGTGGGTGTGGCCTGGACCTGCACCTCACTGGGTGGTGACGCCGCCGGCCGGCGCCTTCCAAGTGAGGCGCCTTCCCTTCTCCCCGGCTGTGGCTGTCTTCTCTTCTGTCCCTGAGAGGAGGCAGGCACTGAGGCTTCTGCTGCTTGATTTTCCAAGCCCTGTGCTGATCCTCAGATCTGGAGTTATATCCTGATGTCTAGGACTAAGGTTCCACCGGAGCTGAGCATGATGGGGCACACCGGTAATCCCAGCAGTCTGGGAGGCCGAGGCAGGAGGGCCAGAGGTTTGAGTCCAGCCTGGGCCACTTAGTGACTCAACAAGACTATCTCGAAATGTAAAATTAAAAGAAGCATGAGGCAAAGGCCCTAAATTCAAACCCCAGGACAGAAAAAACAATTCCATTAGGGAGCTGGGCATGGTAGTACATGCCTGAAAGCCTATTGTCCCAGCTCCTCAGGAGGTTGAGAGTTCAAGGCCAGCCTGAGCAACATACCGAGATCTCCCAAAGAATGCAGTGTTGTTGGGCGCAAGAATCCGCAGGGGCTAGGAGGGGTGCAGTGGCCTGGGCCTCGGTGGCTTAGCCCTGAAGTCCCACTGGGCCTGGCACTACTCTCTCCTGCACTAGTGTGAAGTCACAGAGCCAGTCCGTTCCAGGGTTCTAGAGAATAAAAAATAATAAAATCATAAACAGTACAGAATTTTAAAAACAAGACGTTAGGAAGCCAGCGGTGGTGCTGTGTTGCACATCGCTGTCTTCCGAGCAGTCGCTCTGTCGCAGTACATTTTTCAAGTGCTGCTAAGGGCAAAAAACTTAACACTGCTGTTTGTTAAGTACTTTGTTCAAGAAAAGTTAAAAGGGTTTATTCCCTGGGGATTTGGTGGCTCTGTGGAATCAAAATACATGTTCTTTAGAGGAGGAGTGTCATAATTTGTCAGTAAGCAGTTTCTGACCAATAACCCGTGTGCCGTGCTCGACACCACCACCCATTTCTGTCCACACTGATCTTTGCCTGTTTATCATGGCAATTGCTGAAATCTCAGTTTTGTGAAGCAGGTGGTTACAGAAAGGGGTGTAGTAAAAGCTTCTGTTGAAACTCACCAGTGCTGCCACGTTCAAACGTGCCACCACCAAGCCTGCAGAGTGCACACACGCTGTGCGGACTCGCTAGCCCTGGGACACAGTTGGGGAACCATGAGTGGGAGCTCCACAGTGGTGATGGACAAGTAGTGACGTGGAGTTGTGAAGACCTCGGAGCCCGCCTGGGCTGTTGGGGAATAAGAGGCGTCTCTAGCAGAGGCCAGCACCGCCTTCCCGATGAGTGCCTGCCATCTGTGGGCCTGGAGCTCATCACACCTGGATGCAAGCAAGGGCTGCGAAAGCCTCCGTGCAGTGGTGGTGGGGAATAACCCGGGTGGCTGGAGGAGTCCTGCGGTGCGGTCTCACAGGTGGACCACAACCTGTCTTTCTGCCCGTAGGGACTGCTATTACGACAACTCGACCACGTGCCCCAAGTGTGCCCGGCTCAACTTGAGGAAGCAGTCTGTCTTCCAGGAGCCTGGTCCAGACGTGAATGCCTAGGATGCTGCTGGAAGTGCCAGGCACCCCTGTCATCTGGCATGCACTGGCTGGCATTGCCAAGGAAAGGGCATTCTGCTGCAGAGACCCCTGGGGTACATCCCACGGACAGAGGAGGTACAGCAGTGCCCATCAGGACCGATGTTGTTGGGGCACCTGCTGGGACCTGGGGCGGCTGCATCTGGCTAGTACCCATGTGTGCCACTTTGTGGGGTTGTGATGTGGCCACTGTAAACCCCCCTGGGGAGCGTGAGCTGGGTGAGTCACCAGGGAGGGAAGGAGGACCTCTGGCCTCCCTCACAGCATAGCCCCTTCCCCCACCCCAGGCCTCTGGCCCTGAAGATACCCCTGCTCCCATCCAGCCCACTGTGGCCACTGGCTAGGCTGAGACCCCCGAGGGCTTCGATGAGGAGTGAGACCCACAGAAGCCACCTGCGTACACTGCACAGCCTGAGTTTAGTCTGCCATGATGATGGTTTAGGCTCCCGTTCCTCCCAGCCCCTTTGGGGGATTCTACTGGTCCCTGTCAAGCATGTTCAAGTTGTGTCCCACGCACCTGCCCTGGCCTCAGGCAGGCAGTCCAGTGGGATTCCTGGCTTTTGTACAATGAGCAGAGAAAGGCGCGTAGGAACTTGATCAGCTGGAGACCCCAGCTCTGGCTCCTGCTCTGGCCTGACCCACCTGGGCCTGGTGCTCTGAGCGGGGCAGCCACGGGCTTTTCCCACACAGCTGTCCTGGCCTCCAGGTGCTCCACAGGGATCGTGTCCCTGGGGGAGGTGCCAAGTCAGGCAAGAGGGTTGACTGCAGTTGGCCTGGGTGGCATTTCTTGGGACCAAAGTTGTCGTGCTGCCACAGTGCCTGTGGAGGGTGTAGTGGCCTCTGGGCTAGGTGTCATGGAGTACTTACTCAGTGCAGCCCTGAGCAGAAGGCCTGGAGCCCCTGCAGAAAAAGCCTGGCTGCAGGACTTCAGGGGAGCCACACAGCCTCGTTGTTTGCACTTTACAGGTGCTGTGGTGGGGGTGTGGGAAGGGCCATCTCTGGACAGCAGAGGACGCTGGTATCTGTCTGCCCCTTTCCTCTTTGCCCCGGACTGAGCTTAGCTGTTGACACACATTCAGTGGGCAGAGAGGCCAGGGGATGTCACCATGTGGGTGTCCGTGCTTTTGGCCAAGTGCAGCATGAGTCACTCCACCAGCAGGAAGCAGCTGAACTCACTGAGGCATTTGAAGAGCGGATGCAACAGCTGCGCCTCCTCTCCGCCCCGTGCCAGGTGCTTTCGGCAGGCTCTTTGCTTTCTCGGACCCCCCCTCTAAAAGCAGGGAGCATGGTACGGCCTGCCTTGGTGGAAGGGGCCCTGGCCGAGTCCTGTGAGGAGCGAAGTGGGGCTCAGTCCGTGGCCAGCCTGCTCTGCCTCCCCTCCGCTGTGGTACTGAATGTGGGTCAAGCCAAATGTCATTTCCTTCGCTCCTAGACATGCCCATCTCCCATCACCGCATCACGTCTCTGCCACACACATTGCCGTTGTTGTTATAGGCAGGGTCTTGCCCTGTAACTCAGGCTGGCCTTGAACTCCCTGTGTAGCCAGGCTGCCCTCGGGCCCACGGTGATCCTGCTCAGCCTCCTGAGTGCTGGGGTCACAGGCATGTGTCGCACGCCCGGCACAGATTATCACCATTGTTCCCACACCCTGTGCTGTCAGCGTCACAGTAGCCCATTTTAAATTACTGTGTTCACAGAAAATGTCAAGTTGGTATTTTTTTGGACAAAGAGTTGGGTCCCTTTTTTTATTTTTTATTTTTGGCAGAACCGGGGATTGAATTCAGGCGCTTGCGCTTGCCAGGCAAGCGCTTATTCTACTGAGCTATGTCCCTGGCCCCTCGGTCCCTTTTTCAAACCCACCCAGGACCTTCTTCCCCAATACTTCTTTATCTGTCCCTTCTCAATGACACAGTTTTTGAACAGAATCACGTGTGGATCCTCCCATCAGCCCACAGAATTGTAGGAAAACCCGGACAGGAGCCGATCTGCACGGCCGGCTCCTCCTAGAAGAGCGCACAGAAGGTATCCCGCAGCGCAGGCGCCAGCTGGCCCGAGGAAGGCGCTGTCATGACAACACGCAGTCTCCTCATTAAACTTGTGTTCTCTGGACACTTGTGCGTGGTGAATCTGGACCAAGGCAGAGGTTCTGCTCCTGTAAGCTGGTGCTAGGCTTAGGGTTGGGGTGAAGCAACACCTAGAAATGGGTGGGAAGACGCACTGACGGTGGCGTCAGATCAAAGCCCAAGCCTTCCCCAGTGCGGGGGAGGAGTTGATTTCTCTCTGCCTTCATCCTGATGAGATGGGCTGACCACGTGGGTCCCGGGGTACTGAGAAAGCACTTGGTACTGTGCGTAGCACACAGAGCACCTCAGCAAGTTGAAGCTGCATCTCCGGAGTCCCCGTGTCATGAGGATCGTCTCACGAACCTAGATAGCACCGAAGTGGCTGGTCACCACACACTTGCCAATTGCAGTCCATGTAGGACAGCTGCCTAGGACTTGGCCCCAGGAGCAGAGCCCACAGCTGCTAGTGCCCAGAGGCTGGCGGGAAGGCCTGTGGCCTGGCTGGGGTGGGCCTCCAGCCACAACTCGGTGACTAAGGCTGCGCCTTGGGTGTTACACAGAGGGTGCAATTTTGCCCCCTTTTAGACCATTTAAACTTTTTTTTTGGAGACAGGCTGCAGTTCACACTGGCCCTGAGCTGGATAGCCCAGGTTGGCCTCGAACTCACAGGTGATCCTCCTGCCTCCACCACCCAAGTGCTGGGATTATAGGAGTGAGCTGCCAGGTCTGGCCTTGTTACTGTATTTGGACCATTAAGATTTACAGCAAAGTTGTGAAAACACGCCCACTTGTCCCACTCAGGAACTCCTGCGTGGTAACACATTTTGCCACGTTCGCTTCTCTGTCCTGGCACACATGCTTTTCTCTGGCCTTAGCAGACATGATCTTCCTTTACTACAGAGTGTGCCCTTCTCTAACCCCCTCCCCCCACTCCACAGAGATCATTCTTGTCGGCCACGGAGCAAGTGGCAAAGCAGATCCGCACTGCCACAGAACCTGGAACTCCTGCAGCACACAATGTCTGGGTCTCTCAGTTTGCAAAGCTCCTCCAAATTCGTTACATCTGGTTGCCCAGTGTCTTCAGCTGCTTTTGTTTTTGCCATGTGGAGCTTGGACCCAAGGCCTTCACTGTTCCATCCCCAGCCTCCCCCCGCCAACCTATTTTCTTTTTGAGGTGGTTTTGCTAAATTACAAAGTTGCCCGGGCTGGACTAGAATTTGTGATCCTCCCGCCTCAGCCTGTCACTGTTGGAGTTACAGGGATGTGCCACTGTGCTCCATTTATTTTTCCTTAATGTGACAAGGAAAAAGGATGGGGCTGGCGTGGCATGTGGTGCCGGGAATCGAACTGCAGTCCCCTGCACCTGTCTAAGCAGGCACTTTAGACTGCGGAGCTATCTCACCAACCCAAAACACTAGATTTTTGAACAGTCTACACTATTTGGTGGTAGCAGTTTAACCCGGGAGCCTCACATGCTGTACCACTGAGCTGTATCCCCAGCCCCCACAGTGTTTTGTTTTTTGTACCAGGAATTAAACTTTAGACCTTGCACTTGCCAGGCAGGCACTGTGCCGCTGAGCTCTATCCCCAGCCCTCCCAAAGTACTTATACTGAAGAACGTCCCCTCCCTAACTCCTTTGGGCCTGTCCCATGCTAGATTCAAGCTTCCCACTTCTGGCAGGACTTGACAGCAGTGGTCTGGTGCACCCAGGAAGCACAGCACACGAGGCTGCTTTCTGCCACTGGCGGCGTGGCCGAGCGGGTGCGTGCCAGGCTTCCCCACGGCTGCACAGGAATCCTGTTTATCTGTCATTAAGAAGGGAACTACAAGGTCCGTGCAGACAGTTGCAGCTCACGCCTCCACTGATGGCTCTTGTCTAACTCCACTAGGATGCCAGTTAGGACTTAGCTATCACTCCGTCTGCCATTGCATGGAAAAAGTTCATCTATTTACTGCAAAGCATCTGCTTGCCCAAGTCACTGTTTTCCCTCATGGCCTAGAAGCCTTCACTCGTTCTGATGCCCCAGTTGTTCGGGATCTAGCCACTAGGTAGGAGCCCTCTCCCTCTGCTCTCCGCATTGTCCTGGTGTGGGGCCCTCTCATTCTGTAGGTGCCTGGGTACTTGTGGGTCCTACAACAAACTCTCTGAGGGGGCTGGTGAGATGGTTCAGTGGTCTAAAGCACCTACTTAGGGGCTGGTGAGATGGCTCAGTGGTCTAAAGCACCT